AACAATTTCTGCTTTACAAAGTTGCTTCCCTAGATAGTGAACTTGCTTCATGCACGGTTAACTTCTTAGTGTCAGGTGAAAACTACTGGATGTGAAGCCTTTGTGGAGAGATTTGAAGAATTTTCAAAGGTAATTTTGGATCTGTGTCTTGTTCTGTTGTGTTGTAGCCATTAGATCCCAATCCCAGAGAAGGATGTGGATTTACTATTCTTCCCTGACCCTCACAGTGTGTTTTTGAGGTAGAAGAGAATGTGTCTGTTTTTTTTCTTTTCTCTATTTTTAGGAGTTAAGCTGAGATCTGAGTCCTGCTCAAGGTCTCTGAGCTAGTTAGCCTGGGAGAGAGCTGCTTCCAGTGTATAGTTTATAGTACATCTGAAAGATTGGGTTGATGTTAAAAAGCAAAAAACTCGATTGCAGAAGTGCTGTTTCAAATTCCTCTTGAACATTCACTATACATAATAGCTTGAGAAATAAGTTTGAAAAGAGCATTTCTCAAATGGAACTCATCTGTGGCATCCTTATTCTAGGGTATAATAGTTTGAAAAATTCTGGCTTACTGGTAGTTGGAATCCAGGCCTTGCCACTTATTTAGCTGACTTTAGCAAAACAAACTTAGTTTGGGGTTTCTCTGAATTTCAGTTTTCTTCCTATATAAGAAGAAATTTGCCCACTCATGCAACAGATGAATGTACCTTCCTGAAAATGTAATGAGGCTGGAAAGTAGGTAGGGTTTAAACACTGTAGATGAAGAAAATTCTGGCCTTAATCATATCCTCTTAAGATTGCGAGAGGGAATTCTGAAATTCTGCTAGAGGGATTTTTGCTGCTGGAATAAATAAAAGCCTGGGAGTGGTGATGTGGTGACCTCAGAAAGGCCTTTCACTTAGCTTCCTTGGGTTTTCCTTATTCCTGTCCCTGTATTCTTTCCATCCAGTGTGGGATTGCCCTTGGCACCTGTAGCTGATAGTATAGTATTACAAAAAGAACCTGAGTGGGCTTCCTGCCAGAGGGCAGTTGGGCCTGATAGGTCATTTTCAGTTTCTGTGGGTTCATATCTGTTCGGTGATGTGTAACTGCTCCAAAGACTTAAGTGAGTCCTAACTTCATAGTTTCTTTACTGTCTTGGGATCTTAATGATACACAAAACTGCCTGTCTGCTTTTTTAGCTGATTGAAGTATACACTTTAGTGGTACTAATCCTGAGTGCTCACATGATCATTTGCTGTGTGTAGATAGTGGGAGACCTGCTTTGATATTTTTAAGTATGCTGGTGATTTGTAGAGTAGTGATGTGAGCTTTGTAGAGTAGTGATGTGAGCGGCTGGCGGCGGGGGATCATGTTTAGCTCAGATTAAGGCACCTTTGGATCCCCTCATCTTCCCAGTTGATCTAGTCATAGACCTCGTGAACCCATGGGTAGTCTCATGTAGCCTGTTAGAGGATGTTTGAACACTTCCTGTGTTTAATGGCTTAGATATGATTGATTACAGTGCTTTGGCTCTTAGAGAACTCTCACTTTGGAGGATAGTTGTTGCTGTTTTCCCAGTAGCAAGCAGATGGGATAACAAAATCCTTACCGCTTTCTGCTTTCCTGTCCATTTTGCCAGGTAATGTTTGTTTGAGAAGATGTGGTGTTGTGGGATAGTATGCTCCAGAAATGGTTACTGGTCCTTCATCGGTGTGGAGCAGCAGTTCTTAGTTTTTAGTTTAGTGCTTGTGGAGCTTGTTTAGGAATTCTAATGTTATGCGTTTTAACTTACAAGAGGAGGATTTGGGTTCTCACGATAATTTCAACCTTAAGTTAAAAAGTTTGACTACAGTTTTATCTGTCTTAAGACTTGGTTTCTTAGCTCTTTAAAATTTGGTCATTTGTCTCCAGGCTGTAGGAATGCACACTGGTGACCTGACACTCATGAGATGCCTTGTGTTCTACCTCTTTTTTGACTTTTCCAGTGGTTTGGTTTTTCTTCTAAGCTGGTGTAGCCTTAATTCAGTATTTTTTTTCTGATAGCATTTATATCAAAGATGGCACGGCATAGTTACCTATTAAATGTTCGGTTGGTTTATATGACTTCCGTTATAAATACTTTTTAGTGTTACTCAGTTTTTCTGTTATTGGTGAAATGTGAAAAGCATTTTCTGTTTTGTTTTTACAGTGTGGAGTGATCAGCCCCAGATTTGATGTGCAACTCAAAGATCTAGAAAAATGGCAGAATAACCTGCTCCCGTCCCGTCAGTTTGGGTGAGTTGATTTTCCTTTTGTAAAAGAAGTTAATGCTAAGGATTGCTGTGATGTAATTTGGCTTGAGTGGAGTTATTTTTTAGTTACAGCAGTAATTGTCTCCATTCCAACCAGCTTGACCTCAGGATTAGCTCCTGTGTTGCCACATTTCATGTGTTAGGTCCAGGTTCTGGGAGGCATGTGAAAGCTGAGACTGACAGATTTGTGTGCCTTTCAATGTCTGCTGTTTCAGCTCAGTGCATATAGTTCATACATGTTTGCTGTGAATCCCCTTGTATGGCCAGAATCGCTTCTGAACCCTAGATCTTTGAGGAAACTCAGTTTGAAAATACTCATCTTTGATAAGAGACTGAGTTCAAATCTTTGTTTTTCTTTTAAGGCTATGAGGCCTTGGGCAAGTCAGCCTTGATTTCTTCATCTTAAAAGTGACTCTTAAAAGATATCACCTGAGTTAGTTCTGGTAAAGCACTTTAGAATCTGATGCAGTGTTTATCTGTCTGTTGTTGATAACTTAGCCCCCAGTCATATATTTGGCAATGTTGGAATTTGCTGTCGCTTCATGGTTAGTCTATATGAACAGTGATTTCTGATTGTATTTATGATACTAGTTTTAATGCCTCACAGTTGGCATACCATCTTACATGCCTTGTTTTGATCCCCATGGTAATTTATGGGGTAGCTGGGCCAGGTGGGACTCCTTTGTCCAATTAGCTGTGTGTACAATAGTTTGTGATCATGTGTACATTAAGTGGCAGAAATAGTTCAGTCAGGTTTGTATCAGTACTTAAGAGTAGAGTGACGTTTTGAAGCTAAAGGAGTTCGTTCTTTTTGTTTTTACTTTTTTTATTGAGTTAGTCAGTTTACAGTGTTGTGTCAGTTTCTACTGTAGAGCACAGTTCTTCAGTTATACGTGAACATATATATTCATTGTCACCTTCTTTTTCGCTGTGAGCTACTGTAAGATCTTGTATATATTTCCCTGTGCTATACAGTATAATCTCATCTATTCTACATATGCCTATGGTTTGTTCTTTGTCTTTGACTAGACTGAATAGCATTGTTTCTTGCTGTAGCTGAGGGCAGGGCTGTATGAGCACGTATAGCTGAAGCCTCTGTTTGCGTCTAGGAGCCAGCCCGCAGGCGGCAGCAGTCTGTCCATTATGGGAAGGCATCTTAAGCACTGATGAATGTTGGTGTTTTTTGTATTAAAAAGCAGCTCTGTGTTGAACTATGTTTAGGAAAACTCACCAACATTTTTTTTTAACTTTCCATAGTTTCATTGTACTGACAACGTCAGCCGGCATCATGGACCATGAAGAAGCAAGGCGAAAACACACAGGGGGGAAGATCCTTGGATTCTTTTTCTAGGGGTGTAATACATACGAGCAAATAAAATGCCTCAGTGGACTCTGGTGCTTCCCTCAGTCGTTTTGAACTTTGTACAGCAGAGTAGCAGGAGCGTCTGCGGCAGTGTACAGCCTTTGTGTTAATTGGTGAATGCTTTTTCCCTGAAGTAAACAAGAAAGTTGATTTGGGATAACTTACCCCATCACTCTCCTGGCTCACCAGAGGAGGGTGTGTCTGACACCGGATGGTTGA